CAAGAGGATATCCTTTACCAGTTTACCCCCTCAAACTCTCTCTCTTTATGTAAATCAAGCATGAGGGATTTAATTCAATAACCCCCTTGCTTAGCAAAACTAATTAGCTCTTTTATTGATGCTTAGTTATGTATATTAACCTGATTATAAGCAAAAATAAGATAAACATGTGATATACGTTCAGAAAACCAGAACCAAACAAGGTCAATCTCATACCATCTTTTTTACATTGCCTAGTTTACCAAGGTAACACGAGATGACATATACCAAACAACCCCTAGATTAATTGGTTTCTCCAAGATATGTAGTTCACATAGCTATTTATCATTTGGGTTTACTTTTCCTCCTATTTCCAGCCACTAAAGCATGAAAGAAAGCACCATTCTTGCTCAACTCTAAATTACTCTATAGCTTATTTCTGCATTCCACAAAAACATATCTTCCCAGAAGCATAATCGTTTATGAGATAACATATACTGCAGTCTATGTATATAGATAAATGAGGGGATTTTAAAATCTCCATTTTTGAAGAAATAATAAAAAAATGGAAACTCAAATTTTTTCACAATCCGAAGAAATGGCATAATTTTTGGAAGCCTAAATTAGATATTATGAATGAATGGAATACATACCAATTTTGGCAGAATACGACAAATTTAGAGAGGTGATTAAGCTATATAGAGTTTAGAGATAAGCAAACCGCCAAGGGCGTCGAATTTTCAAACTGATTTGGCTGTGCTCGTTCCCAGATGATGTCCGTCAAATGCTTCTCGCGCGCGGCGGTGATGCTCTTGGGTGATTGTGCTGGTGCTTGGTTGCGAGGGAGTCCGGAAAGAATAAAATCAGCGCCATTTTTTGTCTCTGTGGCCGCGAGGGAGAGCAGGAAACCAGAGCTTGATACTGAAGGTTCCGTCTCTGTTACTGAACGAGGACTAAAACGCAAATATGATTTACTTGATACCCATTTAAAAACATGGGTTATCATTCACGTGATCAGTCCAAATCATTATATCATTTTTATCTTAGATTTAAATAATTAAACTGCAGCATTCTAATTGGTCTATGTAGACATAGGTGTGGTAGCTTAAGGGTACCATAGAGTAAACCTTATTATTATTATTATTATTGTATAGTGGTATACTGTTTTTTTTTTAAAAACCAGTATACCACTATACAATAATAATAATAATAAAGTTTATTTTGTGGTATACTGGTATTACATTCAAGGCTGTCTTTTAGAAGGTGCAATAGGTGCTTGGCACCGGGGCCCACTCTTATAGAGGGCCTCCAAAAATTTAGAATGTAGTATTGATTATAGTTTGATTTTTCTAGATGATATGTATTATTCAAAATATCATTTTTATATTCTCTAATTTGTGTACTTTAAACATTATAAAATTTATGGTTCATTAAAATGTCCAGTTTATTTGTATTTCATTGTTAAATTTTGTATTTTTTTATTTTAGAGGGCCAAAATTTCTCATTTAGAACCGGAGCCTCCAAATTCATTAGACGGCCTGATTACATTAAGATGCAGTTGAAACTAGAAACCGTTAACCTTCAAGGAGCAAGTTGCTCCATTGTATGAATAAAACCTCGTGCTGTCGTGCATGCCAATGTGTAATAGGAATGTATTAATATGTCCGAGTTTAGGAATGTATAAATTGCTCCATTTTTATCTCCATTCAATATCTATTATATATGATGTTCACTGTCCTAATTTTAGAAACTCGAACATTCAAAAAATAGAAAAAACAAAAATTGAAAATGGTGGGCATAAGCTTGTACCGGATCCTACACACATAAAAAATCCAAACCTAATTTTAATTGGAGTATTCATACAGAGAAGTGTTCTGCGAGTCATCTTCACCCATGGAGGCGAACAGTCGTGCGGCTAGATGGAGGTGGCGAGTTGGAATGCGGTCATGCAGTTAGATAGCGACGGCTGGTTGGGGACGAAGGGTGGCACCTCGGAGGCGGCGTTGGTTGGGGACGAAGAGCGGGGCCTAGGAGGCGGCGCATAGAGCTTGGGGCGGCGGCGGCGCACATGGCTCTCCAGCAGCTAGGCGGCTGCTGCTGCTTGGGGACGAAGGGCGGCACCTGGGAGGCGCGACTGGTTGCGAACGAAGGGCGGGGCCTGAGAGGCGGCGGCACACATGCCTCTCTGAAAACTAGGCGGCGGCGACAGGGAGTCGTGCAGCGGGACAGTGGTGGCAAGCGGCCGTGCAGCGGTCGTGGGAAGCGGGTGTACGGCTGTAGGCTAGAGCTTAGAGTTGGAGAAAATGAATAGAAGATCATGGTTTTATAGGCATATTCTAAAGGGTATATTAGTCCGTGAAATTTATTTATTTATTTATTTATTTATTTATTTATTACGAAATTAATTAGAAATTTAAATATTATTTTGGGAATAAAACTAGTTAGGTCATAGATTAAGAAACTCACGGAGTTTTAATCATACACATGGTAATATTCTCTAAAATAATATATTATAGAATATTTAATTAACATAAGTATAAGATATATCCGTAATACCCCCTCAAGTTGAAGCATGTAGATCGAGAATGCCCAACTTGCGGAGAAGCAAGTGGAACTGAGTTTTTCCCAGAGCCTTGAAGATATCAGTCAGTTGAATGGTAGTCGGCACGTAGCTGGGAGCAATTAAATTGACTTGAATAGCATTTCGAACAAAATGACAGTCCACCTCAATGTGCTTGGTGCGCTCATGGAAGACTGGGTTTCGAGCAATGTGCAAAGCAGACTGACTGTCACAAAATAGACGAATAACTTGGGGATGATGAATACCCAAACTGAGCAGGAGAGCTTTTAGCCATTTCGGTTCACAAGTTGCGGCTGCCATAGAACGACGGTATTCGGCCTCCGCCGAAGAACGAGCCACAGTTATCTGTTTTTTAGTTTTCCAAGAAATCGGAGAGTGATCAAGAAACACTAGCCATCCCGATAAGGATTTCCTAGTAAGTGGACATGAGGCCCAATCCGAATCACACCACCCAGTAAGAGTGAGATTACTATCAGCCCGAAGCAAGATGCCCTGACCCGGGGAGCCTTTTAGATATCATACAACGCAAAGTGCGGCAGGCCAATGATCTTGGCGTGGATTGTGAAGAAATTGAGACGGGATGTGAACCGCATAAGCAAGGTCCGGACGGGTAACGGCCAGATAAACAAGACGGCCCACAAGGCGGCGATAAGGTTCTGGATCCGCGAAAGAAGGGCCCGAAGCATGGGCTGAATTGTGGTTTGGTTCAATTGGGAAGGCCGCAGGTTTCCAGCAGTCCAGCCTCAGTAATAATATCCAGTGCATATTTACGCTGAGTAAGGAACAACCCGAAAGAGCTCCTAGCAACCTCAAAACCAAGAAAAAATTTGAGTCTTCCCAGGTCTTTCATATGAAAAAAATCACTGAGATAGGCTTTAAAAGAATTTATGGCTACAGAATCATTGCCAAAAATAATAAGATCATCCACATATTCAAAATGCTTTTCTTCATGGCAATCTGACGTAAGAAGTTTATATGCGTCATCCTCCTGGTTTTGTACATCCACAATTTCCTAATCATGTTTGTAGGCTCAAGAAGGCTATTTATGGTCTCAAAAAAGCTCCAAGAGCATGGTTTTATCGGTTCAGTAGTTTTTTGTTGACTCATCGTTTTGTCTATAGTAAGTCTGATAATTCTTTGTTTATTTACTGTCATGGGTCCTCTGTTCTTTATCTCCTATTATATGTGGATGACATTATTATTACTGGTAATTTCTCTTCCTTTATTTTCACATTTATTTCTTGTCTTGGCCACTATTTTGCCATGAAGGATTTGGGGGATTTACACTTTTTTCTAGGTGTCCAAGTGGTTCGAATGTCCTCAGGTTTGTTTTTGTCTTAACAAAAGTATGTGTCTGATTTATTAACCAGGTTTCATCTCCGCACTCTTAAGCTTGTTCGTACTTCGCTTCCTACACGAACTAAACTATCTCTCACTAATGGTGATCTCCCTTGCAGATGTAATGAACTGTTCATTAATACAATCGCCTCTCTCTCTCTCTTACTTGTTTGCTCTGACTTCTCTCTAGGTTATTCTCATAATAACCCCAAGGATAAGCTACCCCTGGGTACACTGTCCATCACCCTCCTAAACATCAAGCTCAACCCGGGTGGAACCCAAAAAAATGAAAAAACAAAAAAAAAAAATCAATTTGACCCGAACCAGGCCCAGGCCCGGTCGGGCCAGGCCTCCTTTTCACTGACCCAAGCCCGCCCCGCTTTTCCTAGCTAACCGGGCCTTAGACCAGTTTGGGGCCCGCAACACCAGGCCAGGCCGGTCCCGCATAGTAGCAGGCCGGGTGGCCCGAACCGAGTCCAGGACTAGCTAGCAGATATTTGCACAAAAAGTCTATCTTCACAACATTTTATTTTTCTTAGAGACAATTTGCGCATCGTTTCTACTGCACAGCTTGAGGGGAGTTGAGGGAGTGTAATAGTGCAATTAATACCATTAATTGACATATTATTATTGTCATATATATTAATTGACATATTATTAGGTTTCCTATTGTAACCAGGACATATTTTATAATATATATGACATCTAGGCTATCACTTAGATAAGCCATTCCATTATTATCACACTAATTTGATAATTTTCTATGGAAATGATAATTATTTTTCCGATAATAAATAAAATAAATTCGTTCCCCTGTTCATGATACTTAAGCTTCCACCTCTATGCAGACTTTCTATTTTCCAAAACAAAGTACCTGGACCTGCAATTCTAAAACTGGTCAAGTTTGTTGACATAGGAACACAATGAATTATACCGATGTTTTACTCCAATTTTGGGAAAACTAATTAAGACTAGGTGCTTAACCCTCAAAATCCCTTCCTCTAGACTAACCCTATGTAGTTAATTTCCCTTTGCTTCTACAGAAACTTAACATGTGCACACACAGTTTACTTGTAAAAAATTTACTCTATTACGAGGAAATGTTTAAACTGTTATAGTTAGTTACTGGATGCAATTAAAACTTCTGAGTTCTGATATAGAGTTCATTGACTGCCAATGATGCAAAAACATAAAGTATAAACCCAATAAAGGTGTTATGTTCCCAAGTTCTACTTCTTCAGTCAATGCTAACAGTTGAGCTACACATTTGTCATTTACAAACTACATAGACAGCAGATCTGGGGTGTCTGGCATTAAAAGGAAGCTAGGGTAATTCAAGAAAAGATGATAATTGCAAATTTGACAAAACTAATATTGTATCGTGTAGAGAATGCATCATGCCTTCTTCTTTTTCTGGGACTTGAGAGTCACATATCCAACAAAAATGCTCAGGAAGCTGAGAAGTGCCACACCAGCAAACACGGGAATGAGAATGGCATATTCTTGTGGGAGAAAGTAGTTGTGCACAAAATGATCACGGTCGACAAAGGGCTGAGAAAAAGACACAACCTATTACATTAAAAATTACTCCGTAAAATGTTTGAAAACCCAACGAAATCTGGACAAGATCAAGTATCCAATTCCAAGCAAACATATTCTAACTGTTTGATTACTTCCCTACCATTATTTTGACAATTCTAATTCACACAAGAAATCAGGTGCATGTGGCAGTAACCTAACCATTGGAATACCGGATGTAATAAATTTTGGGAATGAAAGATCCCATTCATCTCCTTTCAACCAAAGCATGTGTTAAGAGATTTGACAATTGAAAGAAAACTAACCAGGATGATAACCCAGAAGGTATAGTAAGTGAAAATTGACAAGCTACTTATTGTTAAAAGCAGCCCGACAGCTTTATCTCCTAGTTCCATAGTAATCTACTCTGCCTGTTTAAATAGCAAACATATAGAATTAACTATTCAACTCGGGATATAGAACAGCACTGACAAATAAGTATGGTACTAGACTACTAGTATAGAAGTAAAGAAACGTAGCTGTATTCTTATCTATACATCAATAGATTACAAGTGTATATATATACAATGAGAAGTGAAGAGCTGCAGTAACTAACTCCACAATATAAGGCACTATCAGCACTCCTATAACCAACTAAGAAATGCCTTAAGACTAGGACAAACAGTTACTAATTGAATATTAAAAATATATCTGCTATTACCCCCCCGCAAGCTCAAGGACAGGACGGACTTGAAGCTTGTGACGAAGCTGGGCAATCCGATCTTTCCTCAATGGTTTTGTAAAGATGTCTGCAAGTTGATCAACGGAAGATACATGACTGATTTTCAGAGCACCAGATTCTATTTGTTCTCGGACAAAATGAAAATCAAGTGCAATATGTTTTGACCGTGAGCTGAGTACTGGATTTTTGCACATAACAGTAGCCCCAACATTATCACAGAGCAAGATTGGAGGTTGTGGAAGTCGCACTTGCAGATCACGAAGCAGTTGTTGGATCCATAAGAGCTCGGCAGCGGTGTAAGCAAGTGCACGATATTCAGCTTCAGTACTCGACCGAGCCACCACACGTTGCTTTCTGGATGTCCAACTAATCAAATTGTTGCCATGGAACACAGCAAAACCATACTGAGAGCGACTGTCAGTGTGGTCTGACATCCAACCTGCATCCGAGTAAGCTAACAGAGATAGAGCCTGAGTTGACTGAAAATGAAGAGAATGATGTAGTGTGCCATTCAAATATCGCAGGATCCGTTTAACAACTTGCCAATGAAGAACAGTTGGAGCATGCATGAATTGACAGACTCTATTTACGGCAAAGGCAATATCAGGCCTAGTGATCGTAGCATACTGAAGCGATCCAACAGTCTGCCTATATAACTTCGGATCAGAGAATGCTTCACCAAATAGGTTAAGATGGATAGAAGGATCAGCAGGTGTTGCAACACATTTGGAATCAAGCATGTTGGTGCGGCTAAGAATATCATGAATATAACGTTGCTGGGAAAGAGTGAGGCCTGTGGATGTCCTGGTAACTTGAACACCAAGAAAGTAATTAAGGTGACCAAGATCCTTGAGAGCAAAAGTATGATGCAGATCATTAATGAACTGCTGGATAAGCTGATGATTATTGCCTGTAATGATGAGATCGTCAACATACACAAGGATGTAAATAGTGGCCGAAATAGAAGAATGAACAAACAAGGATGTATCAGATTGACAGGCTCGAAAACCATGCAGACTGAGATGATGTTTGAGTTTGTTAAACCATGCACGAGGGGCCTGTTTTAGCCCATAGAGGGCCTTATGCAATTTGCATACGTGATGTGGTCGAGTAGGATCTTCGAAGCCCTTTGGTTGCTCCATATAAACATCCTCTGCCAAATCTCCATTTAGAAAAGCATTATTGATGTCCAGCTGCCTGATTTGCCAACCCTGTGATAGAGCAACAGAGAGAACTAACCGAATGGTGGTTGGTTTGATGACGGGACTGAATGTGTCAAAGAAATTGATCCCTTCTTCCTGACTAAACCCTTTGGCGACCAAGCGGGCTTTGTACCGTTCAATGGTGCCATCCGAGTGTCGTTTAATCCTGAAAATCCACTTACAACCAACAAGATTAACATTACAAGGACGAGAAACAAGAGACCACGTGTTATTTCGCATTAAAGCATCAAATTCATTTTTCATTGCATTGAACCAAAAAGGGTTCTGTATAGCCTGGGAGAAAGTATGGGGTTCACTGGTGGGTGGTACTTTAGTGGAGGTAAGAAAAATTTTGGGCTTGAGAGAGTTGGTACGAGCACGGGTGAGCATGTTGTGTTGGTTATTTGCAGCAGGTCGATAGTGAGACGGGACAGACTTTTTGGCTTGAGAACTAATGGTGGAGCGTTGATAAGAAGGACACGGAGATGGGGAAGAAGTTGGAAGGGAAGGAATAGGGGACCGTGTGGGAGATGGTGGGAAATTAGATGGTGGAGGTGGAGGGGAATTATCTGGTGGAGGTGGAGAGAATAAAGAGGAGGCAAGATCAAGAGCACCAGTAGGGCTTGGGTCTGAAGGAGTAACATGTGAAGGCATTGGGGGCAATTGTGCTGCAATAGCAAAAGGAAAAACATCTTCATTGAAAACCACATGTCGGGACACATAGATGCGAGATGTGGGGCAATGAAGACACAAATATCCCTTGTGAGAAGCGCTGTAACCAAGAAATACACAGGGCAAAGAACGAAAATCCATTTTGTGATTAGTGTATGGGCGTAAGAAGGGATAACACAAGCAACCGAAAGTACGTAGAAAGGTATAATCCGGAGCTTTGTTATATAGGGTGGAATATGGAGAGTTGTAGTGCAGGGTTGGTGTAATGGTGCGATTATGAATATATGTGGCTGTTTTGAAAGCATGTTCCCAGTATTGGTGTGGAAGAGAGGACTGAGCTAGTAAAGATAAACCTTTTTCCACAATGATCCGATTGCGTCTTTCGACGGCTCCATTTTGTTCAGGGGTGTAAGGGCAAGAAATGCGATGGTGGATGCCACACTGTTCAAGATATGTGGAGACATTTCGAAATTCTCCGCCCCAATCAGTTTGGAGAGTTTTAATTTCACAATTGAATTGTGTTTGGATCATGGTGCGAAATTTGACGAAAGTGGATAGAACTTGTGATTTGTGTGATAAAAAATAGATCCAGACGAATTTAGTAAAATCATCAATAAATAAAACAAAATAACGATTGCCATTAAGGGAACATAAAGGAGACGGACCCCAAACATCCGAATACATTAATTCAAATGGTTTACTACAAGAAACATGAGTATGAGAAAGATGAAATCTGTGGCTCTTGCCAAACTGACACGGCTCACATACAGATGATTGTTTATTGACTGAAACAGGAAGCTGAAATGTAGACACCAAACGACGAAGAATGGACTCATGAGGGTGGGCAAGCCGCTGATGCCAGCCATTTAACGACGTGCGGACACCAGAGAAGGCCATGGTAGATGAGGTGTTATTGGATGGAGGAGACAGACGGTAGAGGCCATTTTCAACGTGCCCTTGGAGGATTGTTGTGCCCTGCAAGGTCTTAACAAAACAAGAGTTAGGCCAGAACTCCATATAGACACCATTATCTCTGGTGAGTTTGGAAACACTAAGGAGATTTTTAGTTAAACGAGGAACAATGAACACAGACGGTAAATGCAATTTAGACGGGAACTGAGCAGGATTAGGACCAGGGACCACAGGGAGCTGCGTGGCAGCCTGGCGAGCAAGTTCATGATCAAGACGAGCTTCCTCCTGTAGTAACAGTCCCACAAGAGTATCGACAGTGGCGCCATCACAGTGGATCATGAAGGCAGAAGTAAAAGATGCATAGGAGGAGTCAAGACCACCGAGGATGTATCCAATGAGATCCTCATCCGAGATTGGGTGGAGATTCTCGGCTAGAGAGTCGGCAATTTGACGCTTGCGTTCAAGATAGTCCATCATGGATAAAGCTCCCTTAGAGAGAGTCTGCAGCTGATTTTTCATCGCCAGGCGACGAGCACGGGTTTGCGCTTGAAAGGTACGCTCAATAGTAAGCCAGGCAGCCTGAGAGGAGGTGGAACGAGCGACCAAGGCCAGAGCACGCTCAGACAGAGTGGATTTGAGCCACAGAAGAACAAAGCGATCACGCTTTTTCCAGGCAATAAAGTCAGGGTTAGAGGTGGCAGCACTAGCATCATCATCGGGAGTAAGAAACGCCGGTGGAGGGCTAGGGTTCTGAATGAATGATTCAAGATCAAAGGTTTCAAGTGCAGAGATAATAGTTGTGCGCCATAGAGAGTAATTGTCTCGATCAAGTTTAATACTAATGGAGGGAATTTGGAAGTTGAGATTGGGGGATGCCAAATTGGCTGCTGTAAGTAGCTGTTGATTGTGAAGAGCCATTAGAGGCTAGTAAGAAGATCGGCTAGGAAAAAGAATGAAACTGGCTCTGATACCATATAGAAGTAAAGAAACGAAGCTGTATTCTTATCTATACATCAATAGATTACAAGTGTATATATATACAATGAGAAGTGAAGAGCTGCAGTAACTAACTCCACAATATAAGGCACTATCAGCACTCCTATAACCAACTAAGAAATGCCTTAAGACTAGGACAAACAGTTACTAATTGAATATTAAAAATATATCTGCTATTAACTAGTGTTCTGCGAAAAAATTCTGAAAAAAAAAGAGAAAAAGAGATGAATATAAACCAACCCCATTAAAAAGAAAATGAAAGCATGGTACCAAACGCAAAAAATAGCAACATAGCATTGTAACTTAGATCAGATGGAAATATCCGCTTTTTAAGAAGATCAAAAATATAATTTTAAAGAAAAATGAATTTATTCCTTTTTTTTCTAGAATATGATATAGTTTTAACTTTTAACTGAAAGGGGAAGTATTGACCAAAATAATTGAGGCGCGGGGTGTGGGGAAATCGGAGGGAAGTGGCAGTGCTCCAACGAACAAGATTGGTCGGAGTACAGAGGTAAAGAGGCGAGGGAAGATACAATTATAGGAAAAAAATCCTAACCGGAAAGGCCGAGCTCAGCGGACGGTTGAACCTGTATGTGAATCTTCACTTCGATTACGCCGTGCTATATGCGTTCAGCCTTCAGATCTATTCTGATTTCTGAGTTATTGGTGCAAGAAGCCAGAGAAGAAAGAACACAGGGACTTTCGAGTGTCACCCGGAGCCACCTCAAATTATGAAATTAGAGATGGCAATTGTGACCGATCCAATGGATAACCGAACCGAACCGCCCCGGTCAAAACGGGGAAAACCGCATTGACCGGGTAACGGGTATGGGGCGGGGAATACCCGTTTTGTTTTTACGGGTAACGGGGCGGTTACGGTTTTATACATGCCCGCCCCATTACCCGCCCCGTTTATTTTAGTTATATTTTTATTACATTTTATCTATCATTTGTCCCATAAGTAAATGAAGATGAGATTTTTTCTATTTTTATTAAGTATATGGATAATAAATAGATGTACTAACTATAATGTTCAATGAGAGTTCATAATAGATCTTAATAGTCTTGTTTGATTATTATCATATTTTTTAGTGAATAATTATTTTTCAGATAAAGTATTTTTAGGTTCAAATTAATTTATGTTGTCTTCTTTCTCGTCTTGTAGATATACGAAACTTTAAAGTGGCGTCTCAATCTAGAGTCATCTAGGTGATGTCATTTTTTGCCTTTTAAAATATTATTTTTATATTAAAATATCAATCACTCATTTAATAAAGCGATTACCCGCGGTTACCCGTGGTTATACCCGTTACCCGTTGGGGCGGATATGGTTTGGGAAAAAATTACCCGTTAGGTAATGGGGCGGTTATGGGGCGGGGAATTATCAAATGGGGCGGGTACGGTTATATGTAAAACCGTCCCCGAACCGCCCCGTTGCCATCCCTACCTCAAATGGCATGTCCGTACCGAATCTTCTATATAAGGACTTATTTGACATCTTTTTTGCAACTTTGAGGACTAAACTGACCCTTTACTCGTTTTTTATTTTTACATTTGTCTCATTTATACCAAATTTCAGCTAAAACTTCAATCGGGAACGCATTTAAATGCGCAGTTATCTTCAAGAATTAATTTGAATACGTTCCCGATTGAAGTTTTAGCTGAAATTTGGTATGAAATAAACTAGACTTGATGAATAAAATGCTACAAATTTTTCATCAAAAAATTCCAAATCGCGACGACCGGACAGAACCTCCTATATAAGAACTTGTTTGGCCTTTTTATGAAAGTTCGGGGATCGATTTGATATTTTTCCCTTTTTATTTTATCAATTCAATATCAATCACAATTCACTTACTATATTCCTTGAGAATGTGTTGTGGTTTATAATGGTTGACCCATTATAAAACTATATTCTTTTTTACTAATCTAATTATTACTCCCTTGGTTCCATTAAGATTGTCTCATACCAAATTTCGTAAAGTTTGTGTGGATCTAAATCATTCTTAGGGGGCGTTTGGTAGGATGTAAAATAATTACTTTGCATGTGAAGTGTAAGGACGTAAAATGTTTACATTGTTTGATTTGATTATTTAATGTAAACATACTGTAGGACACTTTTTTAAACATTTCGCACCGTACCATTTAAAATATTTTACATAGGGGGAGAGTGGTAAAATACTTTGCATGCATTTTATGAAGCACTGCAACGGCTTCGCGTGCAATTTAAAAATAAAGTACACATCTTGCCAAACAATGTAATCTATTTTACATGCAAAGTGATTGCTTCCCTATACATTGCATGCAATCACTTTGCATGCAAAGATTTAACGTGTAAACTACCAAACGAGTCCTAAGTCCTAAAGATTTTACATTATTCTTACTTTATGAATTCAATATCAACCGCACAAATCACATTTTATTGGTTTGCGTGTCACTCCATCTTGTCACATTATTATTGAGAGTAATAGTTAGATTTTAAAATCCCAAAAATTAAATTCAAAAAAAGTAAAAGTAATCAATCAATATATAGATATAAGTTTAAAAGGTGAATTCAATTGACCATATTAATAGTGATCAAGAACTTTATATCCTATACCGGTATCCCCTAACAAGTGTGATATTGGATGGATATCTCATTTTCAAATGTTTAAGAGCCCATTCGGTAACACTGAAATCGACTATGATGAAGTTTAATCCAACTACGAGAGCTAAATATACGTAGAGTATAGAAATAATATTGAAATAATATGGCAGCGTAAGGCAGTATTACTCTTATTCCGGAAAACCAATTGTCGATCCCTTGGTAGGGTGTTTACATGAAATATTTATATAGATTAGGAGATAGAATTATGAGAGGAATCTAATACAATAAATGCTTAATAAATGAGCTATATTCTTGCTCGAAATAGAACTCATTTTCATGCTTCATCCTCATGCAATAATCATCTCCTAATTCCAGTCGAATCCTACATGTTGCCAAGTATTTATCATCAAATGACAGCTTGCCACGTAGGCCCTAGGAATATCCCGACCTCACTAGAACTCCGCCCAGGCTCGAGGTCTGTTGTCCAGCCCGGCTTGGCTGTGGGTAGACCTGCACAAAACCGGGCCGGCCCGCCCGGCCCGCCCATATAAATGGGCGGGTTTGGACACACAGTTTAGCCCACCGGCCCGGCCCGTCCCGGGCCCGTTTAAATTATGGGCGGGCTTGGATTCTAATATAGGCCCGGCGGGTCTAAAAGCCCGGCCCGTTAAATGTGTGTATACATATATATATATATATATATATATATATATATATATATATATATATTTTAATTATATATATAAATTATATTTTATATATATACACAAAAAATTACTATCATTAAGGAAGGCCAACATGAAACCTTAGCCAAGCTACTGCTATTAGATCGGACCAATAAAGTAGTACCCCGTGTTAGTTAAAATTTGAACTGTTTTGTACTGGACACCTATCAAGTCTTTTAAGATACTTTTATGCTTTGACTATTCTCATTGCACATTCTGATTGTACATTAAATTTTTAAATACTGATGTTAGTTCTAAATTTGAATGGTTTTTATTTTTGAGAATTGTGTGTGTATTTCATAAAAGTATTTTACAAACGTTTACGATTTAAAAAAAAAGGATAATTTTTTCGGGCCCGAAAGCCCGACGGGCAGCCCGGCCCGCTCTTTTGGGCGGGCTTGGACATATGAGGAGGCCCGTTGTACTGGGCCGGCCCGGGCCCGCCCACTACAAATGGGCAGATTTTTTAGAATAAGCCCGGCCCGAGCCCGGCCCGAACCCGCGTTTGTGCAGGTCTAGCTGTGGGTTCCTATCGTGGGCCTGATTCCTAATGGGCCAAGCAGCTTATTTTAATATAAATCCCGTTTATGGGCTAATCCTGTTAATTAGGCTAATCCTGTCAAGGGCTGATCCCGTTTATGGGCTAATCCTGTTAATTAGGCTAATCCTGTCAAGGGCTGATCCCATTTATGGGCTGGTTTACGTAATTGGGCCATGGCTAGAATCCATGGTACCATCAGACTGAATTGGCTGTTTTTGCTGAAATTTATAAAGTTCTGGCTGAAGTGGCTTGATTGACTGATACTGCTTATTTTCTGGAAAAAGTTATATATAAAATATACTACCTTTGTCTCGAATTTATTTGCAAATTTGACTTTTCTTGGTCAAATAGTTGCGTTTTGTTCACTTAATTAGGATGCCAATTTTTAATTATATTCTAATTTGAAGTTTACAACTTTGAAGAGATTTTGATGTAGTTTATGAATATGTAAATTTTATTTATTAAAAATTAAATTAATTATACCTAAGGAGGGTTGACTTTTATTATGGGTTGACCAGAAAATGTTGACTTTGCAAAACAAATTGGGACGGAGGGAGTATTTTATTAATAAAATAAATAAATAAAAATTACATGAAAAAATAGCTAAAAGGATCATTTACAGTAACTTCAGCCAATACAGCCAGAAAGTAATTTCAACCTTACTTTTTCTTGTTATTACACAACTCAGCATGCGAAATCAAAAGTTACGTGTTTGATGAAAAAGTTGACTGATAAGCCTGATAAGTCGAAAAACAATGTCATGGGCTCTAAGTACGAGAAGCCTTATGGAGACCCATATGACTCCCTTATGGTGTCATGTGGGTATTGTGGCATATTAATAACCACTCATTTTCTAAGTGGGAGACCCCACTAAAAAATGGGTGGATATTAATATGCCGCAATACCCCATATTATGGAGTCATATGGGTCTCCTTAAAATTTTTGCTCTAAGTACCACTATAGGATATCTACAAAAGAACAGAACCACCACCCTCTTCATACATTGTGTATATGTTTCTCGTGAATAGAGTTATATAACCGGTACAGGCATAGCCAGAGCACTTGACTATGGATGTTTTCTTTTGGACTGAAATTTGCTGGTCTGGTCTGGTCTGGTCTGTTTAAGTCTGGTCTGGTCTGGTCTGGTCTGGTCTGTTTAAGTCTGGTCTGGTCTGGTCTGGTCTGAACTGGTCTGGTCTGGTCTGGTAAACGTCTGGTCTCTGTGTATTTTATAACTACGGAAGTCTGGTCTGGTCTGGTTTGGTCTGTTTAAGTCTGGTCTGGTCTGGTCTGTTTAAGTCTGGTCTGGTCTGTTTAAGTCTGGTCTGGTCTGGTCTGGGACTGAAAACAGTCCAAAAGAAAACATCCTATACTAGGCGAATATAAATAATTTTTTCAAATGAATTTTTACAAGATTTTTTTTACACTAATAATTAAAGCACCTTTTAAGTTTTGGTGGGTTGGGAACTCGGGCCTAGGTTACCCCCTAGCCCCGCCTCCGCTAATGACATGATCGATTGGTTTATGATCAATGGGACTACAAAAAAGGTGAAGTTAAGAACATATTAGTTGCCTAGTTGGTGGTCAATATTAGCTAGTGAGAATAAGAAACTAGGGCAATTTATAAAGGGGTAGAAATAGAGACACCAAACATACATTTCTTTTTGTAAGCAAAAAATCACTATTTGCTTGTAAGCGTTTATAGTGTACTAATTGATAAAAAAAATTACAATTCATGTTTTTATATTAGTTAGGCTTGTAATTAAAGTGCAACAACCAGGGCCGGTCCCGAGAAAATACGGGCCCTGTGCAAAAATAAAATGTAGGCTTTTTTAAAATAGGTAGAAATATAATATAAGTGAAGATC